GCTTAGCTTTTTCTACAGGCTCCCTAGAAATTCTCTGTATAAACAAGAACAGAACCCACGTGGATCAGTTCACTTTCTCTCCAGTGACTCACAAGGTATTTAAGTTCTTCATTTTATAAGGACTGGATTGTTTCTGCCTCTGGGCAAGAAATCTAATTTAGATGCCTATGTTACTTTCACTGAATCTGAGACACAGTGTATTTAATACTCAAAGACTATGCATTATCCTACTGATGTGATTTGCAAGCCTCTGAAAATTATATTATTAAATGTTGCAGAGAGAAAGGCAATAATATCTATGCTTTACTCTATGCTATTTTTTATTTTTCATAGTTAACCCATTATTTACTGTCACAAGCAGTTGCAAAACATCCATTTTAAACAGAACACACTGGTGGAGTACAAGTTTGTTGTTTTTTTTTAACTATTTCTGCAAGTAAATATTTGTGCTGTTTTTATCACGCACCGAGAAACATTAAAACATAAGTATAAAACTCTCATTCTTTACTAGTCATTTATTCTCGGCACTCAGTAACATGGGTTAACTCCTAAATGTTGCTTGTAAATTCCTTCAGTAGCCCAACTGTTACTAATACCTTTGCACAATCTTAAGAATCAACATAAAATAATGTTTTGCCCAATGGAAGCCACACATATTCCTGCTCATGCTGTAGCCCCAGCATTAACAGGTATATTACATTTGTTCCGACAATCATCTAAAGCAAACTTTTCATATAATCACATAGTAAATGTGATTACATCACTAGTAAACAAAATAGGGATTGGCAGATGTTCAAACATGCTGATAAATGGCACTGAATGTTTCAGATACAACTTGAGTCAGAGAATGGGAGACACAAGCACAGAAGAAACCACTCTGGTGTGGGAAAGGAGGAAAGATAAGGAGAATTCATTGATAAAGACATTAATAGAATGGTTCAGGTTGGAAGAGACCTTAATGATCATCAGTTTCCAACCTCCCTACTATGAGCAGGGCCACCTCATGCTAGATCTGGTTTCACAAAGCCTCATCCAACCTGGCCTTGAACACTTCCAGGGAGGGGGCATCCACAACTTCCCTTAGCAATGTGTTCCAGTGCCTTACTACACTTATGGTGAACAATTTCTTCCTGATGTCTAACCTAAACCTACCCTCTTTCAGCTTAAAACCATTACCCCTTGTCCTATCACTACACTCTCCGGCAAAAAGCCTCTCCCCATCTTTCCTGTTGGCCCCCTTTATATATTGGAAGGCTACTATAAGGTCTCCTTTATATATAAATATGTATAAACTCCTCTATATGTTTACATTCAGGGACAGAAGTCTATATTTTAGTTTCAACTGCAAATGAGGTTAGACTTTTGTCTAAACAGAGTTAGTGAGGATTCATATGAACGGTTTTGCTGCCTGAGCTGTGGGGATGGTAATCACTACACATCATGTCATGGGGAAGGTAATAATTAGGTGGTGGGTGTGGAAAGTCATAAGGGAACCAGGTTAGAACACTGTTAGCTATGCTAGTTAGACCTTAATTAATATATCTTTCCACAACTATAGATTTTCACCTCTCTAGTGGGTTTGCTTGGAAAGGTTTTCTAGGGTGTGACAGGGGTGGCTTCTGTGAGAAGCTTCCAGAAGCTGCTCAGTAGAGCCAGTGTCTGCCATCAAATAGAGCCAATGCCAGCCGACTCTAAGATGTACCTGCCACTGGCCAAGGCCAAGTCCATCAGCTATGCTGGTAATGCCTATATGATAACGTATTTAAGACAGGGAAAAAAACAACAAACCAAAACAAACCTGTAAAACTGCAGCTGAAAAGAGGAGTTAGAATATGTGAGAGAAACAACTCTGCAAACATTAAAGTCAGTGAAAAAGAAGGGGGAGGAGGCCCTCCAGGCACTGGAGCAGAGATTCCTCTGCAGCCCATGCTGAAGAGCATGGTGAAGCAGGTTGCCACCCTGCAGCCCAATAAACTCCACACTGAAGCCACTGCAGGTCCACCTGCAGTTTGTTATCTTACTCTCAGTGAAGAATGCTATTAAAAATCACAGGAAAAATATTTATAAGAAGCTTGTAAATTAAAAATTCAAGTAAATAATTTAAAACACTTCAGCATTAACAAGTTTTAAGACACCCAGCACATTTTAACTCCCCCTGAATCCTTTAAGAGTGAAAATAAACATAAATTTAAAGGTTTTCTGTACAGAGTAGCACAAAATACTGAGAAGACCTATTGAAAGTATGCAACTAGATATTACCTGTCATATAGTGCAATAGTTTTTATACTGGCCAAGTCATCAATCTTTCTAATTTGATTTGAATGAAAAAATACAAACTTTTAGAGTAGCAGATGGTTTTAGGCAAATCAAAGGAGCAAAATTAAACTAAAGTTCTATGGCAACATTACAGGTTTTATTCTTTCATTTTCAGCTTCATGATACTTTTCTTTTAATATGGTAATACTGATTGGTTTCTCCTAAATTTTTCTACTGAATTTTTAATTACATTGTTTGATATCCTATTACTCAAGTCTGACTACATTGGCAATTACTGCACCTTGAAAGCAAAATTAGGCATCATAAAAACTCAGGCTATAATTTTAAGCCTTCATTGGAAGAGGATCTCAGTACAGTCTTTTCAATCTGTTAATACTCTTTGCAGTCTATGACTTAATCTTTTTAAATGAATTTAGAAGTCCGTTAACACTTTTTTTTTTTTTTTTTTTCTCAAAGGTCCAATGATTAGCTTTTAATTTGCACCTGCCTTCTCTTCAGAGAACTCTTCGGTTAATTTTCCATGCAGTGAAAATGACAGCGTTTGATTTATACTTAAGTATAAATCATAGTAGGAAAAAAAAACACACCTTTTTGTAATAAAAAGTAGATTTTCAACTCCAGCTCTCAATACTTTTCAGTTGACACTTTGTTATATCTTATTTTTCATCTGGAAATAACATTTAAACACTTTTTTAGCATTATAGCAAACATTTATATGATACAGTGCCCAATTATAGACAAGCACCAGTGCACAAGGTTTAATTTTCATATTAAACTGAGCAAAAAATACAGATAATTGCCAAAATATATCACTCTAAAATATTTCTTTTTAATTCCTTGCAGTTTTGAAACTTTTTTATTTATTTATTTATTTATTTATTTATTTTGTATATCCTACTCACTGGCTGTTTAGAAAGAAATGTTTTCTCTCTAAAAATTGGACCTGAATCTGAAGTAGTAAGTTTTATGAGAAACTTTCTCGATACACAATGGAATTCAGTTTGAGGTTAAAACAAATGTTTTAGGAGTTTAGAGGTGGGTATCAATGACACATTTACCTTTGTGATGATTATCTGTGATAGTTAATGGAAATCTAGGATTTAAGTCAGTTGCTAAATATGGGTATCATGTTACTTCAGATAACTTAAGGTATCCAGGATATTATCATGGGGATGATGTATAGTAAAGTGGACACAATTCAGTTGCATAATGAGGGCCATAGGTGCTGTTGGCAGTGTCTTAGGGTATCCTTATTTGTTAGGGCCACAGAGACACCAGAAGGAACTCTGAGGCGGGTATTGTGGTGTGGACATGGCTACTCAACTATACAGAGCATTGCCTTTAATACTATGGATAAAGAGCTACAACACTCATCTTGGTAATGTGGGGGAACATTGGTTTACATGCAACTAGCACTGCAGAGGTAAGCAAAGCATGGCTACTAGATGAAATAAAATCCCTATTGACTGGAGGAATGCAGTTAAATTTATGAACCATACTTCTAGAGTTTGTAGTGGGATTAGAAGCTTTTGAACATAAATGTAGCTTGAAATCTTGTCTCTAAATTATTTCAGCTGATACTTTATATGCCATAGAATCATAGAAACATGGAAAAACTCAGGTTGGAAGAAACTTTGAAAGATTTTCTGGTCCAAACTTTAATGGGAAAGAGAGTCTAGATGAGAATGACGCCATTACATACCTTACACTCATACTTACATTACTTTGTATTTTGTATAAGGGTACCAAAAATATATCTTTTTAATCTCACCTTTAATTTTCACCATTTTCAGCAATTCACAGAACAAACAAAAAAGTTATATTCCTTTTATGTGACCTAGGTCAATAGCCTCATTTAATTCCATAGTGGTAGATCTTGGACATACTAATAATAAATACAATTATTACTAAGGCAGGGACCAGTAACCAAAATACCTGGATGACCTCTTTCTTCACAATACGACCTAGATATGAAGCTGGTGTGTCAACAGCTTAAGTTACCTTCTGTAAGTGTTTGACAGATTAAAAAAACACTTTAAAGACTGTAATGATGCACAGTATTCTGTGCTAGCCTCCTAACTGGCATAGATGTTGAAAAAATTCTGACTATCAGTTAGTCTTCATTCACTGCGTGTCAACTCAGGATTTGGTCTCTAAGGAACAATAAGTATTCCCAAATGAAACTGAAGAAATTTAGATCCTCCTCAGCCTCTATTCTCCTAGGTGACATACCATCCTGGTAGGCCATCACTAGCCCTTCTCCAGTTTCTTCCTATGCTTTTCAAACTGTGGAGTGCAAAACTGGAAACAGTATTTTAGGTGCAACTTTAGCAGCACCAGGTATTACGTGAAAAATAACTTCATATGGCTTGCTGATTATTTATTTTTTCTGATGTAGGCCAACATGTGGTTTCCCTCATTCATGCTGTTGTCTCATATTTAGCCCTCTATCTGCAGTAATCTCATCTGGGGTTTTTTGGGTGGGGTTTTTTTGTGGTTTTGCCTTGGTTTGTTTTTTTCTGGAGGTATTTACTATTCTGCATGTCCTTAGCATCTGGCTGCTCTTCTAGCCTTCCATTTTTTCGAAGTCCGAACACTTTAGCTTTCAAACATCCAGAGTATTCAGCAGTTGAAGATTATAAACAGAAGAGAGGTTTCACAATAACAGTGATATTATTATTGCTATTATAATTATTTAGAAATAAAAATAATTTTAAAAATACCTGAGGTGGAAGCAGTGGTAATCTGATATAAGCAAGTAGCATACTTAGGTCATTGCATCGCCTCTGCATATCATACTTCACCCACATCATTAAGGCATGGAAAATGGTCTCTTCATCAGGAACATTCACATCATCACTAGCAAGGAGTTTATGGAGTTCGTCAGCTGGTAGAAGTAAAAATTCTTGATTTCTTATAACTTCCATTATATTTTCCTGAGAGGAAGGAAGTATTTCAGAGTCAGTAATACTGGAAGAAAATAAAAGCAGCTATTAAGCTAATAAAACCATAGAATTAGTCAATATCTGCCACACTGAGTCCTCTTACAGCTCTTGAGAAAAACAAACCAAAGATTATTAGAATTAAACAACTATAGTTGTAATTCATATACAAATATATTCAGAAAACAATCTAAAGATTATATGGTAATACTGTAATTAAAAACCATCAGAATTAGTAAAGGCTAGGACAGATGAGCACATTATTTGAAACATTTATAAACTCAGTTGTAGTGGAGCACTTTTGATATTTTGTAAATCCTTACATGCATGTACTACATTTTCCTGAATTTTTTTAACTACCAGATTTTTTTCTTAAATAACTTATCAGACATATATAGTTATATTCTCAATATTCTGGTCATGGCTGGCTATATATATGACAAAGCCGAGAGGAAGATCAATACCATGAATTTAGCATAATTTCATTTGTTTGTTTAGAACAGACTGTTAACATTCAGCTCATGTGCAAAATGTATACAGCAATTAAAATCTCATAGTGTTGAAACTTGTATATAGGAATAACTATTAAGAACCGAATTAAGTGTTCTCTGAACTACCTATCCTACATTAACAGGAAACAACAAAACCAAAATTCTGCAGGTTTGTCTTTCTCCAAATATTTCATTTTGGGTGCGTGATCTCTGTGGAGAAATTGCAGATTTGTTCTCATATTCTTGATTCATAGACAAGTATTATAAGAATGTGGAGTACAGACTGGAGGCACAAGACTCCACTGCTGCAAAAGAAATCTTATTCTTGACATAAAACAAAAATGTACAAAGTGTTGGAGGGATAAAGAAGTTACAATATCTGATAGAAAACATATAATTATTGGTACCATAATGGTATTTTGGATAAACATCATGAGAGTAAGATGATAAGCAGGAAAGGAATGAAAAAACATCAGTCAAGGATTTAAGGTTAAAAACATCAGAATTTAAGGAAGTGGATAATTTCACTCCTGCACCCACTCAATTAAATTCTTAGCATATCAAAATTCAAATTAATGCTGTCTATAATTGCTTGTTTGGGTCTGGGCCAGAAGAAAGACTGACTGGTCATCAGGAACTGAAATAGAAGTAACATAGTATTACTGAGATAATATAACTAATACAGGAAGAAAGTGGTGCAAGACTTGAAACATAAGAATTGTACTCTGGCCCTAATAATAATATGTCACATAGTGTCCTCCACCTGTGATACAAGGAAATTAGTTCAATTCTTCAACAACATTTTTTTATTTTTTTTTTAAAGTTACAGCTTCAAATAAAGGCTTCATATTATTTTATATAAGGTAGCAAAGATGACTAACACAGATACAGACGTGATAAAACCATGACAGCCAGCAACGTGTAATGTAATTATACAACAAATTCATGCAAATAGAATAAATTAGCTAAAGCTGAAAGTTATGCTTGTTATTATGAATGTGGATACTTTTGCTTGTTTAACTTAACTTTCAATAAGTAACATTTTAACTCTACAAAGACACCCAAAAGTGGATGCTGACACAACAGAAAATTACAGTTATATTCATGGTCATCATATTACCCCTGCTGAAATGTTAAAACATGACTCTGTTCTTTTTTTAAAATTGATTAAATTTCAATAGGTACCTAAACAACTAGATTTTTATGCCTAAGGTTTTAATCTGTTGACTGCTGATAAAATTTAAGTTGTGTGACTGCAACTTTGTATAATAGCTTGGAAACATAAGGGAACTAGTTTGCAGGCACTTACCCACAAGTTGGCTTTATCAATTTTAATTAAAAAGCCATAAAACTCAGAAAATTTCATTGCACTTCTCAGTAAATGATTTATAAGCCGAAGTTTAATTAAGGCTGGTTAAAATGACATTAAATCCCATTAAGAAAAAAATTTAACTCTACTTCTTAATAGGAACCAACATCAAACTTTAGAATAGCATATTAAACCAAAGATGTAATATTGTTGAGAAGCATTGAAATGGTGGAATACATTATATGAACTCACAGAACTTAATTAATTTTGAATAACACTGAGAGCCAGAGCTTTAAGTTCAGAATAATAATAATAATGTTAGGTTTGATTAAGAAATTTTAAATTTTTATTGTCTTTTCATCTGGATATATGCTTAAGGAGATCCTATTTCAGCCTCTGTATTGATTTACCATTGGCTGAAAGTAGAATCTAACAATGTTTTCAAACAAAACATATGAACTCAAATCTGATTTTCTGAACATCTGGACTTACACTAGTTTCATGGTACTTCAGGCTGAGTGCTGTAGAAGATGTTATTTAATAACATTTCTTTACATAATTGTAACTTCTACACAAACATACACATTTATACTGTATGTTTATACATACGAAACAGAAATAAAATCCAGGTTCTTGTTCCTCAGAGCTCCTTCAAATATTTGGCATTTCCTAAACTGACTACTGAATGTTTAGAACTTCCTAGATCACATTTTAATTTCTTGAGATTAATTTCATTTGAAGCAGCAAAACATATTTAAATGGCTTGCTGTTTTATCTTAACATAAATAATTTATTTTATGCTTATTGTAGAAAAATACCTGCCTTTCTTTTAAAATATAGTTATTCTTACTTTTTGCACTTTAGGGAACAGGATATTGCTTAAAAAATTGAGGAGAAATTAAATAAAATGAGAATTCTCCTGAAATTAAGGTGCAGGGTAGGAATTGAGGCACTCATTACCACTTCCGTGAAGCACTTTTAGGAATGCTTAGGTCCTCAGTCTGAGAAACCTCAGAACATATGGGTACTTCGTGTTTAAGCACATCCAGGGTTATGCTATAGAGGTGTATTACTTCTCAGGACCTGCAACTTCTAATTTTGATACTTAAGCAGCTTTGTAGTTCTGGTCTTCACTTTAGCATAAGTCTCTTAAGATCAACTGGGCTGTGACTGCTGCCTCTCCTGCATGGGTCATCTGCTTAGCACATCCCTACAGTAAGAATTGTAATGTTTTAATTAAGTTAAGCAGTGGATTTTTGCTTTTAAATTAGAAAAGGTAACTTACAGTACAAATTGGGAAAGTCTCTGAACCCATTATGTCTCACTTGGTTGCTCTTTCAGTTTTTCAAAATGATAATGCAATAACCACTGCTGTGAGGTCATAGCGTTTCCACAGCTGAGTGCTTTCTGTTTTAAACCTCTTCGGCAGCAAACAGGATTAGAATTAAATGACCATAAAGTAGTAGCAGAGTAGGCTCATATAAACAAAACACAACTATTTTTAAAGGGAGATAAGCAAGCACCTGAGTATCTAAACCCAACAGATTGTGAATCATAGGAAAATAAATGCTCCAATGAAAATAAACTATTACCAAATTGAATGTAATAAAAATTAATTCTACTATCTATATCCTTGCAATGATGTTACCAATACAAATGAATTTGACTTTTTTTTTTTTTTTTTTTTTTTAAATCAAGACATGCAATGATAATTTTTTCACTTGGAATCAAATTTTCTTGCATAAGTTAGTTATCACTGATGTTCATGTCATTGATTTCACTAATCAATACATATCAGTTGTAAGGAAGAAACTGGAATAATTTCTTCAGTATTATTTTAAAAAATGAAATAATTTTATACCTTGACAAAGAATATCATATTCCAAGAGTATTAGTTAGAATCATGAGTGTTATTTAGAAACATGAGAGCTGCTGCAGCAGTAAAGTGCTTAGTAGTTTTATTTTTGTTTTGGATGTAATAGTCTTATTTAAGAAGTTTTATATTTAATTTTGATGCTGTGGCCTTTCCAGTATGAAAAGGAGAAAGGCATAAAATAATGCTGAAAAAAGGTATCCATACACTAGCCTTTCACTTAAATAGCAAATTACTAGTATCAATGAATATTTTAAGACCACACTGCTTTTACTTGAGAATCTAAGTTTTCATTACAACTTTAAATAAATAAATAAATAAATAAATAAATAATCTGATTTCCATGTTAAATCATATTTTTTACACTTTCTGTAGTGTAAAAGTCCTAAAAGCCGATTTTTACTTTGCTCAAGCCCCAAACTATTTCAGTCTGGTATTATTGCTGCTGTGCTACATTGAATTTAGCCCCCTGATTTTGTGCACTCAGTTTTCCTACCAGCTCTGTGTCATACAAGTCTAAATCCCCTTTGCAAAAACTGTCCTATCACATATCTTCTTTCCTAAAGAGAATGGACTTTTCAAATTCCTGAACTCCTGTCAGACAAAGGATCAATACTTGATAATGTGCTTATGATATGGTTCTCTAGTCAAATCCCAGATTTCATCATAGAACAAGCTTCATCTGCCCTATGTAATCCAAAGAGTTACATGTTTCTTCTAATGCCAGATGCCAGCCTTGTGTCACCATTACGAAAGACATAAAAAGGTGGGGCTGTTCAAAAGATAGGCAGCTAATGGAAAGAGATCGCATGGGTGTGTATGCTTCTCTCACCTTTGTATCTGGGAAAAGGGATCAGTAGCTTCTGCTTTTTGGGAGAGCAGAGAGCAAGTTGAGGATAGAAGAGACTGTGACTATGGGAAGCAGCTCACACAGCACACTGAAATCTTAATAGAGGCTTCTAGATTACAAAGTTAGATGACTACAACTTAAATATTTATTTTTTTTACTTGCAATTTATAATTTTTTTGTTCAAAAATGTTCAGTTTTAGGATATGAATCTACAGAATTAGCCAGATTATAATCTAATATATGGTAAATATCATGCAGCATTCTGGTATTTCACAACTTAAATGTAGTTAACAACCAGTCAGTCATAGATGGTTGCTGATATGACAGTTCATCACAACAAATTTTCTTAAGTTTTTAAGCTAGGGGGCCTTAATCTGGAATGTTTCCCTAACTACGTCAGAATGATTAATGTTTATTTCTCATTTTGCTGGAGGATCTTTGTTCACATATGCTGCACATATTCTTCTTCAG